ATTGGGTGCTCCTTAAAATCACACATTTTGAATCGTTCAACTTCGAATCAACAAGCCTTTTAATTCCATAGGCATTCATGCAGTTATGCATTTAAGCACATAGCCTCATTGGCAACATTGTAACGGAATCAACTCATTTGCAAGTATGCTCTAAAGCGCAAAAAACTTAACCGTGTACTCCATGCAAAAAAGATAAATAAGACTAGTTAGAAAAATGCCTATGACCTAAATATACAGATGTCTAATGCAACACTTGCATATTGATGTAATTTATTAAATAGCTCGGCCTTACTTAACATGGTATTTGAACACTTTGATTTACATGCTTTGAAACACGTTTTCTAAAGAATTATTTGAAATTGCAATGCAGGAATGAATGATGCGCCGAGCCTCAATGCATGCAATACAAATGATTGGATGCAAACATCAAGCTTTAACTCATGCTAATTGAAATTGTCCCTAATCTAACCATCGTAAGAGTGGTTAAATAATAAGGGTTAGAGAAAGACGTATCGGTTGGAAGATAGCACACTCACACTCATCACTTTCACTACATGTGCCCTTACGAAGTAGGTTCGAAGATTTAAACTAACTAGCTACGCTATACTAACCTTACAAAACAAACTTACTTTAACTAACTATTTGTAAGCTATATTTTACATACAATTGAAACAAATTTAATTAACTTATTCTAAGCAATTAAAAATATACAAACGGAATTGAAGATAATTAGTTACATCTACTTAATTAAGTACAAACACTTGAATTTAACTAGCATTTGAAGCTAACAAAGCAATTAAATGGGCCTCGAAGGCAAGGGACGCATGCTGCTTGGTTTTGGTTTCCTCCTGAAAATCCACCGCCTTGCCATTGCAAGCCTCTGTGCACATTTTTCGAAATTCACCAACTAGTGCTGCAACTTCCAGGATAATGCCTCTAACTCCAACTCAGGGAGCACACTTGGCCAATTTTTTCATTTGATGGCAGTCCAGCTACCATGGTGGCCAGTCGACTGCTTTACTGGTGGGCCGACTGCTACTCCTGGCCTTGAACTTTTTTTTTGCGACTGTTTCATGCGCAGGAGAGCAAACTAGAAGCAATAGCAGTTGTTTCGTCAAGGTAGTGTATGTCTGCTACCTTCCTTATCATTCCACAAATCTTAGGGAGTGTATGCTCTTGGTCCTCAAACCATTCAACAAGCATTTTCCATCCATGATGGCTAAGGAACACCAAGCTTGTACAAGCTTTATATGAATGCACAAACTAAGACTAAACAAACCCACCACCCTATCATGCCTGCTCAAGGGTAGATTGAGTGACCAAGGAAAGTGGCACATTTCATCGCTTTCGAGTATGAATAATGTCCCATTTTCCTTGTGTTCAAATTAACCTCGATCTGAACACTGCAATGCAACATGTCAAGATGCTTTATCTTGCTTTTTACTTGTTTTTCATTTTTTGGTTTACTCATTTTAGCTTACCATTCCATTGTTCTTTAATCGATTAAGTCCAAGGTGGTGTCTCTAATGGAAAGAGGGTTTTTAAAACCACAAGTGCCTTGAGCATTGAAATTGAGACCTCATTGCCATGATAATGAACTCCCGAAGGATTACAACCATTAAGCATAGAATGTCTCAATTTTCACCATTAAGCCTTACAAGGGGTTCAAAGCACTTTTCAAAACAATATGAAAAGTGTGAGAATAAAGTGAGGTGTTAGAGATGTAAGTGCTAGAATGAAGTGGAAAAACAACTACTAAATCATGCCATTTAACTCAAATAAAGATGATCAAGGCATTTGAAAACAACAAAACTAGTGAAGGAATTAACACTATAACTATGCAAAACAAGCCTCAACTGAACTAACCAGCCCAAAACAGAGCCAAAATAGGTTATTTCAAAGGCAAAAACATGCTGGACTTAAGCTAAGTTAAGCTAGAAAAACATGCTAACATATGAAGCTATCTAGGTATGCAAACAAGACACAAGGAGGGGAGGTTAACCCCTCCAATTTTGGACTTCAAAAGAAGGTTTTTACCACTAAAAAACCTCTGAATTTTATTGATTGAAAGGCCCAAAAAGTTTGATTTAAAGGTGATGAAAGATGGCACAAAAGCTTAACAAGCAAAGAGACAAGAAGGGTGGACCACCCCCTAACTCCAAAAAGCCTTAAACCACCATTTTTAAACCATAAAAAAGAGTTTTTTGGAGTTCAAAACCAGCTCAAAAATAGTGCAAAAAGATTGCAAAACAAGTATGGAAATTAAGCTTAAGTGAGGTAGGTTTAATACCTTTGAAGCAAAATGCAATTCAGCCACAAACTCAAGCTCAAATCCCCTTTCAAGGCTCAAACAAAACTCCAAGGGACCTCAAATCAAAGGTGAGAGTGTTTGTTTAAGGGTTAATGTGCAAAAAGGTAGAGAAACCAAGCAAGTGTATGCAAAATAACAAGAGAGAGAGAGAAGTCTAGAGAGAGAGAGAGATTTTTGATCCAAAATTTCTAACCCTAAAAATTGGGGGAGGACAGCCCCCATATATAGAAAAACAAGGTTTGAGCTTGAATTCATCCTACCATACACGTGTATGGAGATGCAGGTCAGTAAGCAACAGCTGGCACAACTAGCAAACAAATATCTAAAAAAGGAGAAAAATGGCCGTTGGCCACCACTAGTAGCCGACCGACCACCAATCTGGCTGACCGACCACCAACATAGCCGACTGGCCACCACTTATGGCCAACAGGCACAAGTGATGGCCGATAGGCTGTGGGGCTGGCCGACAGACCACCCTCTCCTCCAAACTTGAAACAACAAGCTCTTGGTCTACAACCAAGCACAAAGCAGATAAAGTTCAAAGGCACCAAACACAAGGCGCTCAGTCAAGAACTTCGGGCGCTCAAGACGAACACGAGCATACAAAATCATCGAGTGTTCAAACGATGACGTCTAAGTCTTGAGAATGGTCAAAAATGGGGTGTCTACACCTGCCCTTAGAAAAAAGAGGGTTAGAAATAGATGCTTATGCATTGGATGTGCTAGAAAGCAATTGGAGACACTTAATTGTTCAGGATTTGTCAAGTCAAGATGTCAAAGCTAGTAGAGCCGTTAAAGTAAGCTCCATAAACTATATCTTATACTACAACAACCTGTACAAGGTAGAAGCATATGGACTCCTATTAGATTGTTTGGGGCTTAAGGAGGCTAGAACAAAACTAGCTAAAGTTCATGAGGGCATTTATGGTGCTCATCAGTCAGGAATTAAAATGAGATAGTTATTGAGAAGATATTTATATTACCAGCCAAACATACTTAAAGACTGCATTGAGTATGCAAAAGGTTGCCAAGCATGCCAAAAACATTGAATGATTAGACATGTGTCTGTAGATGAGTTGTATTCAACAATCAAGCCTTGGCCTTTCAGGGGATGCGCAATGGATATGATGGGAAAGATTCATCATCCCTTTTCAAAGCATCATTGCTTCATTCTAGTGGCCACAGATTACTTTACAAAGTGGGTCGAAGCAAAACCTTATAAATCTATAGGCCAAAATGAGGTAATTAGCTTCATTGATGATTTGATTCACAGGTTTAATGTTCCCCAGACTATCATTGTTGATAATGGGATAGCATTTGAAGGTGGTTTAGTGAGAACTTTTTCTGGAAAATTTGGCATAAGTATCATTAAATCCACTCCTTATTATACCCAAGCAAATGGACAAGCAAAATCATCCAATAAAACCATCAAGAAAGGGATTCAGAAGATGACTTAAGATAATCCCAAAGATTGGCATAATATACTCTCAAAAGTTTTATGGGCCTATAAGACTTCAAAAATATCAAGTACTGGAGTTACTCTTTTTGCCTTAATATATGTGCATGATATTGTGTCACAGTTGAGATCAACATTAAGTCTTTAAGAGTCAAGGCACAAGATTATTTTGACAAAGATCAATATAATCAAAGCATGTGTATGGAATTGGAAGACATTAATGAAGGCATAATTTTAGTCTTGAACAAAACGTTAATCCAAAAGGAAAAGGCTACAAGATGCTATAACCAGAGGGTGCATCATCAAAGTTTTAATGGAGGATATTTGGTATGGAAAACTATATTACCTTTAGGTGTCAAAAGTCATAAATTTGACAAGTGGTCACCTAATTGGGAAGGACCATTCCAAATTCACCAACTACTTCCAAATGGTGCTTATCATTTAAAGACCCTAATTTGTTTTGTCTATCAAAGACAAATCAATGGTAAATTCTTAAAAGCATATTTTCCAACTGTTTGGGAAACTTCATACATTAAAGGATTGAATATTGACAATGGATAAGCATAAATAAAGTACTACAAAACAAATTGCAAAAGTATGGTTTTCATTCACGAGATGACAATCATAAAGATGCCTATAATTGGGTCCAAAATGTGTTACATGCCTGAGTTATTCTAATACAATGAGTTTTCTACTTTCTATAGAAGGAAGCAGCTCAAGTAACTTTGATATTTTAGTTCTAAAGTCCACCAAGCCAGCACTCGAGGTTTGTATTCTCTCATGGGTAATAGCTAATGCTAACTTCAATTATGCTAACTCCTTCTCTAAAGCATTTTTCCTTGCAAAATGTGTCATCTTTTGGGTAAAGGCCTCTACATACTTAGTTCTGAGAGAGATAACCTTGGTCTATGTAGTGTTGACAAGAGCTTAATCTTGAGTAAGTTGTTGCTCAGAATTCAAAGCAAGCTCTTGTAGTTGAAGATGGAAGTCTAAAGAAACCATGGCTTTCAAAAATGAAAGGTAGAGAGGAGGTTGATGATGAAGTAAAGATTGACAAATTGGATTCTTTAGAGCAAGTAAGGTAGCTTAGAAAAACCCTTTAACAGCCTTAAGGAGACTTCAACATTCCAGTTTTGAGGGAATGAAGTTTGGTTAGAAGCAAAATGGCCAATGAAGAGTCTGCCAACCAGGGGGGATCAATTTCAACAGGTAAAGACATAGAAGCAATCACAAGTGTCAAAATCTATTTAAGCTCTTACTCTAATGTCTATAATTCAAGTATTGACATCTCCACAACCTCACTAACACCAGCTTGAGGTTGTGTGCTCTCTCCTATTGTGAATAGATCTTGAATCAGAGGTGATGATGTGCTGGAGGAGGGATAGGAATTGATAAGTGTTCTGATTGAGAAATCTCAGGCATGCTAGTTTCAAATAAAGCCTCAGTGGTAGCAACCTCTGGCATAACCATGGAGACATCATCCTTTGATAGATCCCCATGTCTACTAGCCTCTAGATAAGAGGCCTCAGGTCCCTCAAACTCTGCTAAAAGAATATTCCCTACTGTCCTTCGAACAAAAGATTCAAGAGAAGAAGTGATATCTGTTTGCTTCAATGTACTAAGGAGATGTGGAGAGGTAGATGGGGCACGATAGTCAAGTGGAGTGGGGGAGAATCAATTGCAAAGGAGAAACTGAAAAGGGTTATTCAATGTCATTCTCTAGGAGATCTCCTCTTATTGCTTCCTTCTAAATAAGGCTTGTCAAAATGGTTTAAAGGTCAAAGGAAGAGGGAGTTCTTATTATTTCTCATGGCTCTTAGTACTCTTGAAATAAACATCCAAAACCTCAACCACATCTGGAAGAGACTCAGTTGTCTGCGGTTGAGGTTGAGTGAGAACATGGGGTTGTCGATAGACAGATGTAAGCACAGAGACCAGAGGCTCAAGAGCAATTCCTGGAGTGATAGTGACAATAGGAGTGAAGGGCTTTCATCTGAAACAACATAAGAAACGTGAGGCATCTAAGTAAGTACATTAAGGGGCATAAGTATCAAATGAAGTTGTGAGGAGAAGTTTACACCTGAGGGTACTGATGTTTGAAGATGAGCTAGAGTGGGAAGAATTTCTGAAGAATGAACTTTAGAAGATGAAGTATCGACTCTTCTCCTACTACAAATACCAATGGGAATGTGATTCTCATCATCTCCTCCCTTTCCTAGTTCTGGTGATGTTTCTCAGGTAGGAATTATGCGTGTTGGAAGGGGTTCAAGATGACTAGATCCTCTACTATATAAAGAAGTTATTCTTTTCCTTTTTTGGCTCTTCTTGGGCATGAGCTTAGCTAAAGCCTTTGCACAGGTTTGGAACCCTATACAAAAGGCCTTTCCTTTCAAATGACAGTTGCCTCTTCTTGTTGCGAGGGCATTATATGAAACCAAACCGGCCCCTGCCAGGACTTGGTGATATTAAAGGAAAAGAGACAAATGGTGAGTACTTCTAGCCTATCTTATACACAATAATTCAGGCACAAAGATTTGAACACAAGCATAGAAATGAGATCTAAGATGCTTTGAATGATGTTTACCTAGCTTTGTAGAGGTCGCGGTAACTCTTCTAGTAGAAGGGGTAGACGCAACAGTTGTTGGTGCCATAGCGACAACTTGCATTGGAGTTGGCAATGCTGTTGTGGGGATAGTGGAGGCTACAACACCAGTCAGGGAACCAACTTTAGCAGGGCCCAAGTTCATTAACATTAAGCCCAAAGGCATGGTAAATCGAAGATCCATACTAGCTTTGCACCATTGTAAGAAGTTAGGTGAAGCTATTGGGTTAGAGAAAAAAGGGACCAAACCAAATTTAGCTAGACCCTCGAATAGGAGTTTTGCTGATTCCCTAATCCTAAATTGAGAGACTTTTAGTTCTTTGACATATAGTTAGGGATTGGTAGCTACACAATAGGGAACTAGAATCAGCTGAATCAACTCGAATTGCCTGGCAAACTAAGCTAGACAATAGGGTTCAGCTATGCATTTATAGGCCTTGGGGCTTATGTGACGCCCCAAAAATTGGGCACATCAAAGAATATATTAACAAGTAAATACAGGGTTTTTCTATGGTTACAACTTTAGCAAACGTCAGTAAGCCTTTTGGTCAATAACCAAGTAAGATCCCAAGAAAGATCGGAGGAGTCAAAATAGCCTCCCTTCTAAGTCCAATCTCCTTAGATAGTAAAGCTACTTGTTTTGATAGATCTTCTAAGTTGAAAGATAATAAGGAATAGATTAAAAGGATAATTGTAGTTATAAGAAAAATAATAGTTACAAGATCATATCATAATTACAACAAGAGTTTTAACACTTATAATCCCAAAACATGATTCCTAATTCCTAATTATCCTAAGATAGCCATATGTCTTCAAATGTTTCTGCTTCGCCATCGCCTGCATAAATTTCGTCAACACCTTGCATAACATGCCATGAGCTTGGAATGCCAGTAAGCGCACACACACCCCGTCTTTTTTTCTCAATCCAATACACAATTACAATTACAACATATACAAGTAATAAAACATGATATTCAAGTAAACAAGCACAGGGTTATAAAGTTAGATGTTAGTAATCTATAAATCCCCCAAAGAGATTTCATCCTTCCAACCACAAGCATTAGACTTGGATTATTCAGTATGCCCCCTCTTTTGCTACTTTGTAGACCTTACCCCAAATGACTACAATGGTTACATGCCGCATAGAACCAACAGAGGACCTCAAAAGAGGCAGTAAAAATAAGGGCCTTGCCCATAACCACCTACAATCTTATCTGTCATAAATACCTAAGGTTTGAATACAACTGATCCATTCAAGGGTTCTGAAACAACCACTTGCACAAGACTTAACCTTCAATTAGGGAACACATCCCATCAATCTATACTTGATGATAGCACATTATCATTTCATCATTATTCAAGTGGTCAAAAACCTAATACCTCCTCCCCCATTTAGTTTTCCCTTGAGTTAGATGTCGTAATTTAAGGTTAGAATAAGCTATTGAGACAATAATTTTGTATGAGCATCATCAAAGCACCATGGTAAAGAAATATGGACATAACAATGTAAAAATCATACTAAGGCCCAAACAAGTGAGAAGAAGCATATTTATGAAATAAAAAGCATGAAATCATCAACGAACATAAATTTTCAAATTAGATATGCCTTAATGATCACAATCTAGGAGACATTTTCAGATTTTTCTTGAACTCAACCTGTCTATGGTCGGTAGAAAATTTTATCTAGTATTTAGTTTGTCTTTCGTAAGTGAGATAACTTTCCTAGATTTTTAATTATTTAATAAATACTCAAGCAATATCCAGATTCATCGGCTATTATGAAAATTAGATTTGCTCTCAAACGTCACACTCTTTTTCAATGAAACCATTTTTTCTTGAAAGCTAACACTTTAAGGAAGGTTTTGATATAAAATTGAGGTCAAGATGATTTTTTTGCATTTGTTTTAGAATTTTTGAAATTGAACTAGAAATGCAAGTCTTTCTTGCACAAAGCTTGAAATAACAAGGGTAATAAAAAAAAAGTGGGCAATGATGAGTAATTTTCCACTTCTCTTATGATGAAAATATGCTAAATAGTATATAAATAACTCAAAATTTTTAGAATGGAGGTATGCTCTTGGAAATAATGTGAGAAGTGGGTAGAAAAAGGTAGTTTTGTTTCCATTAAGTGTTAATACAAGTAAGGGAAGAAACAAGGCTCTAATTATTTTATTCAAACACAACACTAGGAATACACATCTGAAAATGATATATTAATCCTCTAAGATTATGTTTTTGAATGTGAAAATAAAAGAGAGGATTGTTTTGTGACTTACTTGAATGCCTATGGGATGATGTTGTGCAAGTGTGCTCTCTTTCTATTCCCCCTCCTCCAAGGCTCACACTTTCTCTCATTCTTTCTTAAATTAGTGTGTGTATGTGTTTGACATGCAAAAAAA